TTTTATTACCTCATCTCCAGAGTTACTATTTGCAAATATTCAATAATATTGTAGGTCCATTTTATTATTATTCTTTCTACTCGCCGTTATAACACATTTCCATCTCATCATTTAATTTCTGTTGTGCATATATTGTTGTATAGAAGATATTTCAAAAGTGATTCATCAGGTGGAAAACGAAGTTTTATAATAATGGAATGTGCGAAAAGTGACCCGAAAAACGGCACTAACACGGTAACTCGTGATCCAATTTTAACGAAATGTGCTTTATTCTGTTTCTATTCTCATTTCATTAGAAATAGGTCGCTATTGTGCGCCTTTTTTGCTGTATTTAATTACAGACAAGTACACAAACAAACAAACAATCTCAGAGTTTTAGTAGTATATAGATAGATAGATAAACAGCTTGTGGGATAATGGTATTTTCAATACAAATTTTACATAACAGACAAGATGCATTTGTCAAGCAGTGCTTGGATTTTAAATAACTAAAATGATAATGTTTACATTATTATCTTACAAAAAAATAGATTTGAAGTCATACTAAAGTAATATAACAATAAAACATTTTAACTGACATTTTATTAATCAGATAAACACCAGAATACTTGAATAAATCAGAAATACCAGTAATTGTCTGAGCATTCATTTCTTTATATGCCGCCCTATCATGTCAGTTTTAATTTTCTGTTAGGCCTCAACACTAACTTCTAATAACATTTACATTCTTATAATGTAGTTACTTTTATTTATACAACATAAATATGGGTGCAGAGAAATATACGAAATATGCTTTTATTGTTTTAGTTTTGTTTTCCGTTTTAAAGTCACATACATTATCCAAAATTTAATAATTTGATAATTAAACAATGTTGTTTATATATTTTTGATTATGCAAACCCCTCATACAACAAAAGTGAAAAAATAAAAACTGAATAATGTAACTTGAGCTTAACATTTGAATCTGTAATTAAATAAATATATTTATAAAGGTAACTAGTTCTGAATTTCAGAGCTGGTTCTTTTTCTTCTATGAAGTGGCTCACGCATATTACCTGTCACGTGGTAGTGCACAGGAAAAGCCCTATGGGATATTAAGCCTAAGCTTACACGCGAATAAATATACCAGTTTCATAATGAACTACTCAAAATAAACCTGCGTGTTATGAATAATGATAGGCACATTAATATAATTATTTTTTTGCAAATCGTTTCGCTGAAAGGCGTTAAAATACACGGTATATGAGTTGGACTCTTTTAATAACGTGATTAAAACAGGTTATACATATAAATATTTGGTATATCTTTAAATAAATCGGATGAACAGCAATTTAAAGGGCATAATTATATTGAGGTTTTTAAATATTCACTTTTATTATCATTAAAGTTAATAACTTTGAAATACTTCATGTAAAATTTCCTTGTTTTAAAAATAATCGTTCATTTGCAGGTATCTGAAACTAGAAACATATAAAACCCATCCAAAATAACTTTATTTTTCAATATTTAATGTGATTATGTAACCAGTGATTTCAAATAACTTATTTTATTCTCACCACAAAATTTGGTCCCATGGAAACGCGCTGACAGTTTTTAATCTCGTTCATGCACAAGTCTGTGGTCATGTGATCATCTGTAGCCTCGTCTCGGACACCCCAGCGCATATCGACAACCTGGAGAAATTAGTTACATTTTAGATTGCGTTACGTCACTGTTATTGTAATAAAAAAGTAATTTTCTTTAACGTTGGAGCATTTTAATAATAGAAACATATTCAATTAAGATAGACATTTCAGCTTTAAAGCAAATAAAGGATCAAAGCCACAAAATTTTAATTTTAGAAAATATTTTATACTATGTTTTAATTAGTTTGTTTTTTACGATTGTATTCTGCTTTTCTGGTACACCCACAGTGAGAACTGTCACATGTTGATTGGTCACAGTTGTAACACACTCATGGCTGAAAGTACGCAGCGTGTTCAGCAGCATATCCCTGCTCGATCCTTGAATCTCCCGATCCGCATCCGACATCCTGCCCTGCTCATATACTTAGGACTAATCATTACAGTTAAGGAATGTCTGATAGGCACTTAAAAATACTAGCTTGTGTCACCTATGGTGGTTTAGTTATTGTAGTATCTGTATGTGTGTTGTATGTGTGTGTATCTGTTCCTTATACGTTTCCACATTTATTGATTAATCAGCACCGAACTTGATACAGTGATACAAGATGACATGAGGATAGTTGTGGAGGAGGGAGGGGGGTTAACCCAACCCCTCTGATTTCATATGTAACTAATTTCGAAAAAAACTACCATCGTTGTATATCCCTCAGCATTAGAATGAACTATGTAAACACTATTGTTAGAATTCTTGAAAACGGTGTGTCTTTCTTTTCAGTATTGGTATTTTTACCACATTTATTGATCAATCAGCATCAAATTTGACACAGGATGACACGAGGAAGGTCATGTGGGGGTGAGGGTGGATCCCCCATCTAATTTCAGAAAACTGCCAATGTTGTATATCCCTCAGAATTGGAATGAACTATGTAAACATTATTGTTAGAATTCTTGAAAACAGTATGTCTTTCTTTTCTGTACCTTTATGTATTTTTATTGCACTTTTAATGTTTATTTTGTTAAAAAAATAGAAGCAGAATTTTATATCCTTTGTTATTAAGGAGGTTTTATTTCACCTTTCCAACGGATGAGTACTCCAGGTAGTCTATAATAATTTGCATCTGTAGTCCTTATCAACATCAAGTTAAGAATTTTGATAAATTTGTATCATGATTATATATTGACTTGTTTTTGTTGTTTTTTTGTATCAAAACCAAACCAAGTATGAATTTCAAAATCACCAGACAGTTGGTTCCAATTCGTTTATCTACGCTAACCGTCCCTAATTTTCAACTAATACATTAGAGGGAAAGAAGCTAGTCCAAATTACCCACGGCCAACTCTTGAACTACTCTTGTCTCATCGAATAGTGGGGACTGTCACACTTATAACACACCCACGGTCCAAGGTACGGAGCGCAATTTTCTATTATATATTTTTTTACTGTAAAGGGAAGTGAACGCTGAATCAGCAAATCTAGTTGTTTCTTGAGTTATTCTTAGCCACTGAATATTTATCTTCGAACGACAGAACACATTTCATATAATGAGTTCCGCATCTCTCAGCTTAAGCTTGATTGTGAAAATAAAAATAATGTGAATTTCCAGCCTGAACTCACTTTAAGCGCAGCAAGGTCAGTAATTCGTAGGAACTGAACAAAAAGATTGAGTGTCATTTTACATAAGGTGTCCACAGTTGAGGCTTGGCATGGCCAGGCGGTTAGGGCGCTCGACTCACAATCTGTGGGTCTCGGGCTCGAATCCCCGTCCAACCAAACACGCCTTTCAGCCATGAGAGTATTATAATGTGACGGTCAATCCCACTATTCGTTGGTAAAATAGTAGCCCAAGAGTTGGCGGTGGGTGGTGATGACTAGCTGCCTTCCCTCTAGCCTTTCACTACTAAATTAGGAACGGCTAGCGCAGATAGCTCTCTTTTTTGCCGACATAACAAACCAGTCCACAGCTGACAGTGTGGAGCGGTATCACGTCTCGAACTTCGAGAACCTTCGATCTGTAGCCCTACGCGCAAACTGTTAGACCATGTCTGCCCTCACCCCTCCTAGGTAAAGACCAAACAGAACGTTACATTGTTAATATGTTCAAACTCGTTTATGTTTTACGGAAAATTTCATTTCGATTAGTAATTTTACAGATCTCTAGCATTGAAACATATATATGCTGCGAATAAAAGCGTGTCATATTATTAGGCCTATAAGTAAAAAAACAAACAAACAAAAAAGAACTACTTCCTTAGCATGCTTGAATCTTTAATTTCTGTTTTCGCGAAAACTGAAAATATTGACAGGCCCATTACTGTATTTATTAAACAAGTTTAAAATGTAAACATAATGGAGATATATTAGAATCGATAAAATATAATAATTTTGGGGAAAATACTTCAAAGTCGAGTACATAGAACAATAAATATATCTATAACAAATAGATGTTCAGTGAAGAAGGGTCAAGCGTGGCCAAGTGCTAAGCATGCCGGATTGTAGATTCGAGAGTCTATGATTACGTGTCCTGTTGCCATCAAAAAATTACAAAAAAAAATTGTTTTCCGTACTTTGGGACCATGGGTGCTTTATAAGAGTGACGAGATCAAATTCCACCACTTGATTTGATAGTTCAAGAGTTGGTGGTGGGTGCTCTTGTTTGGCTGTCCTCTCTCTAATCTATCAGTTCAAAATTAGGGACAGCTAGTACAGATAGCCCATGTTTAGCTTTGTGTAACTATTCAAACCAAACTAAAATGAAATAAATTAAGCATATACCATTGCAAGTCCGTTCTAATTAAATTATTAATGAATTAATTACAAAGCTTAAATATAAACAGTCACCATTACTCATGACATTCTGTAAAAATGTAAAAATATATCATTCTATAAGTACTGATTGAATCAGTTTTAAAATCTATTAGAAACCACAGAAAATTCTACCTGGAATTTTTAATTAAATGAGTATTAAAAATCCCACATTATATGTTTTTTTCTTATTTAAGCCAAAATAATTAATTACATTCTTTATTTACTACTTATACTTTTAATTTTTATAATTGGCAGTTTGAGGGGATGAACCAAATTATATTGTGGTCGTTGAACCCTAAAACATAGGACCTACCCCTAAAAACTCTATACCAAGCTGTATTTAGTATCGTTAGAACCTGAATCGTGTGTTCTTTAATATATTCGAAATCTGCTTTGGGGAAATTTTTTATTTGTAAATTAGTTGAAGTCACTTTCTCGCATCAACTGAAATACGCCCCTGGTTCCTCTGCAGTATGCTTGAAGGTTTATAATGCTACAAATCGGGATTCGATATTTGTGTTGAACACAGCGAAGGTAGCTCGTACTTTCTCGCATCAACTGAAATACGCCCCTGGTTCCTCTGCAGTTTGTTTGAAAGTTTATAATGCTACAAATCGGGATTCGATATTTGTGTTGAACACAGCGAAGGTAGCTCATTGTGTAGCTATTGTAGAAAAGAAACGCTAGCAGAAGGGAGGAAATCGTTTTCGTAGCTCTGCAGGGATCAAGAAGGAGAATGTTAACAAATGAAAAGGGTAAAAGGCGGGGAGGCTGACGCTAAATAGGGGCCCATAGCGCTGTTATAAATTGGATACGAAGGGGCCCAATGGGAAAATCGCAGGGAAGCCATTCATCCTGCGCTACGTCTCTGGTAAGAGGAATGACGCTTCTTAATTGAAATAACTCAAAATAAGGCTGGCCCTATTCAAACTCGGAGGCTTGTTACGTCCTTCTGTGTCACTTGACTGGATTCATTTTGAAAAACTGGTTAACTTTCCGGATGTATTTTCCTTTCTTGACAGAAGCAGAATGAGCATTTGAAAGCATAACATAATCAGATAATATTTCTCGAAACGAACCAGTCAGTATAACTTTGACAGCAGAAACCATGCTTAAAAGTGATAAACATTCTTTTGATGGTTGCAATCATTAGCATAGCTACACTGTGAAGGCTTGGCATGGCCTGATGGTTAGGGCACTCGACTCGCGATCTGCTTATCGCTGATTTGAATCCCGTTACTGAAAATGCTCGCCCTTTCCCATGGGGTGGCATTATAATGTTATGGCCAATCTCATTTTTTGCGGATTTTGGATATGTTGCAGAGATAAATGTTCCGGTTTCAATGGTACTAAAACAGCTTATCAGCAATTTTGCCCGGATCTAACCTATCAATGATCATAACGTAGGTGAAAATAGTTCGAAGCGTCCATTGTGTCTAAAATATCAACCTATAACCGTTCTGGCTGTTCGCTGTTCGATTCTAAATTCAACTCATTTGAAAAAATAAAATGTTAAAAAAATCGTTATTTGTACTTCTGGATGTATTATCAGTCCCCGGGTAAGACAGCGGTAAGTCTACTGACTTACAACGTTAACATCAGGGGTTCGATTCCCCTCGGTGGACACAGCAGATAGCCTAATGTGGCTTTGCTATAAAACATACAAATTCACATATATTACCCGGATGGAAAAGTTTAACAAACAAAGTTTTAACTCAAACTAGAATATCTACTCGGGTAAAGTCGTTTAATATTTTTACTCTAAATAGTTCAGTGTTTGCATTCGAATCCACACAAGTTGCTGTCGGTAACGAGCTAATATTGAAGCACTATAGCTTTTCTCAGTATCATGAAGTTTTTTGGGAGAAAGAAAAGTTATCCTGGGCAGTTATATCATCCCATAACGAATAAAAGAAAATAAATATGGCTCTTGCAGTGACGTGGCAATAGGTGGGGCAGCTGACCCAAAGGCTACCAGGGGCCTCTTCAAAATTGGTATTTGAAAATTTTAATATTGGAATTGAGGGGAAAATATTCTGAAACGCGGAGAAAGTTTTAATGGGGGGAAGGACAATAAAACGTTTTGCCGCAGGTCACTTTCAGGCCTAGTTGCGCCACTAGACCTTTATATACATCGTTCGAAATTTTTACATTTTCTCTTCCAATATATTGGTATTTGGCAATTCGTTATTTAGATATTTATTCGAAAATAAATTTTTAGATACTTAAAAAACAGACACAC